TTAGAGGTTCACCTTCCATCCCATGGAGCCTTCCAGCCCAGGTGCAAATTCTAGCTAAGCCACTTAGCAGATGTGTGACATTAGGCAAGTCACTTAACTTCTGAATCTCCATTTTCTTGCCTACAAATGAGAATCTGAATAATAACAATTTTGTGGAATTGCTGTGAGAATTAAATAAATTGATAAAATAATATATAGTGGTAACTCAAGTGTGTGTGTGTGTGTGTGTGTGTGTGTGTGTGTGTGTGTGTGTTGCTTAGGATGATGCCTAAGACCCTGAACGTGCTAGGCAAGGACTCTACCACTTAGCTACATCTCCAACCCTATTTCAAGGTCTCCTTATATATCCCAGGCAGCCTTGAACTTGGGACCCTCCTTCCTCAGCCTCCTGAGTACAGAGATGACAGCTTCCTACTAATGCTATCTGTTTTTATGATATCCATTGTTAGAGCTGTCATTATGCTGGAGACATTCAGAATGAGACCTAAAACAGGTGAGCCCACCATGGACCAGACCAGGCAGGTTTGCCCATCCTGACATTCTGTCCCATCCCTGGATACTCACTCTAGCAGTCTCCATCCTGGTCATCAACGCCACCTATGCAAAAACGTGTCCTCTGACCGCATCCCAGCTCTCCTTCCCAACTACCAGCGGTCACACACATACCCTCGTTTGATTGATAAAGTCCCTATCTGGTCATTTACGATCTGGCTGCTATAGAGGCAACTCCTGCCAGCTCGAAAAGCAATTAATCTGCAAACAAGCTGGGCAGCAGCAGGCCTGGGCATTTCAGTCTCGGGCCGGGCCACTCCGGAGAGCAGACAAGACTGCAGCCGGCTATTTATTGTACATTTTAATTAAGTGCTTGTTAACGACAGTTATTTTAACAGTCATAAAATTACTGTTGTAATGCATTTTGTTGGAGGGAGAATGGAGGGGCCTCAGGATTTTATGAAAGCAACCACAGATTGCCTTCACTTTAAATCAAAGAATAAATTCTGAAGAGGAGGGCTGGTGCTGTGGTCCAGGCCCAGACGCTAATGGTTATTTAATGTGCTCATCAGTGTTTGTAAGTCCTGAGCATACGGCGTGGACACAACAGCCTCCAAACCCTCTTTAACACTTATTTGAGATGACAGGAAAAATGAAACCATTTGTGCTTTCAATGGAAAAGCAATCATTGGTACATTATATTCGCCTTGCCCTATCAAGCTAATGCATGGTAAAAGTGTCACCAAATGTATTTAAGGGCCTGATGGACTGTTAACGTTGGATTCCTGGTACTGGACTGATTAATAAAAATCTTCAATTTGTATGTAAATGCAGTGAGGCCTCATATCATCGGCATACCTGCACCCTGAGAAAATAATAAACTGAAGTTTAATGCAGCAATTATCAGCATTTATGGAACTCTTAAAGTGGTTGTTGGTGGCCCTTGGAAGTAGGCATATAAGAAGCCAGGGATAGTTGAGATTCCTGCAGGACTCATGGGTTTCTCCCAGGGGCCAGCACTGGCAGAGCTGGTAATAACACATGGTGGTAACCTGTGCATGTCCAAGGAGTAAGCCAAGTGCAATGATGCCAGATGATGACGTTGCCAGAAAGATGCTCCAGATAAAACAGTTGGGCACCTGCTGACACTCCAAACTCTTATTCAGAGGAACCCCATAGCGCAGTCCTACAACCTGCTGGACCAAGCCATGTGTATAATGACAAGAAGACTCACTGTGCACCTGCAGAAACCTTCTACTTGGTACAAATGGCAATGTTCTCAAGACACTGCATTGTTGTATGTCCAGCCCAGGGCTAAGGACAGCTTTACATATTATCTTATTCCTCATGATGTCAGAGACTATCTCACTGCTTACTAAATTCATTTCCTTTTCCTCTTGGTCACACACCTAAACTATACTTCCCAGACTCCCTTGCAGTTAAAAGTAGCCATGTGAGCTAGTTTGACTGACCAAGAATAGCTAGACACCAAGATGAGATTGGACACTAGATATGCAGGGGTTTGAAGCAATAGAGAGTAGAAGAACCCTTGGGCTATCAGCCATCCAATTGCTACAGGAGCAGAGCAGGGAGAAAGGAAGAATGAGCATGGATTCTCAGAAGGGATCACTCTTCCAAGAAAGTGCTTGCCAGGCTAACAGAGAGTACTTGAGCCTTTGCCCATTGGCAGGTCACTGGTCTTGTCCCAATGAGCCTGGCTTCACAGCTCCACCATGCTCAGTCACTGTTCCAGAAGAATGTGCTCACGCTTCAGGAGCATGATGGGATAGACAGCAGCCTAGCTGGACTCCTACAGGAGACCAGAGGCACAACACCCGTGGCTGAGAGCTGGCTAATAAGATGTAGACAGAATTAATCTATGCTCCTTCTAGCCTGGCTCCTACAACCTTCCATGGACTGTTCTAGCCATGATCACTGTCCTCAGCTTGAGGCACACTAGATCCTTATGGACTGAAGAACCAGAGCTGGAAAGGGTCCCATCCACAGCTTGAAGGCAACTGCTTAAGAGGAAAAAAACCAAACTTCCATTAGAGCAAGCCATTGAGATTGAGGACCTTTCTATTATAGCAACTAAGCCTTAACCCAACTGGCATCCCACCAGAAGAAAGCGAGTGTTCAGATCTCCATTTCCCAGTAAGCACAGGAACCCAGACACATCAGTTATATTCACTTCCTTGACTCAACCATAGTCTTTTTGTTTCCTGTTCCCAGGCTTTTCTGATAATTTGGGGATCCTTGGGCCAGAAGGAGTCCATTTAACCTGAAGTTATGAGCAACCCAAGTGTTCAGGGAGGTCAAAAGACCATGAGGCCACCTCCATAGACACAGATGAAGAAATGTTTTCCTTTCGTCCCGGGTGGACAGTAGGAAATACATTCTGTCGTGAACCCTTGGTGGCTTTCCCCACCTTCTTTGTCCCTTCTGTCCAGCACTCCTCCACACCCCTGTCTGTTTAGAGCACCTGCTGCCAGAGAACCTTGTGAAGAAATTCCCTGTATATCAGCTTTTGCCTATGGAGCCATTTCAGGGAGTGCCCAGATAAAACAAGGTGTGAATCTGAAACAATCAGAGTTGCCACTGGCCAAAAGGTCTAAATGAGGTTTTCAAGTAAGGAACAGAAATCACTTGGCAGAGAGAAATGGGATGAGGGACTCTGGGAAGACAGGGAGAAAAATGAAGCCGATAGAGGGGGGGGGATCTCAATTTGTTGGCCGGCTCAATGCTTCCCTGACTTTCTAAGTTCCAAATTGTCTTGCTTCCCTCCAGATTCCAATCAGGGCTGCAAGCAACTCCTCCCCTTGGTCTCCCTCCCATAAGCACCAGCCCACTTGGGGTCTCCCACCCACCAGCATGGGGTGCCATGGGGGGATGGAGGCTAAAAAACTTCCACGTGAATTTCAGCAGACATTAGCCAGTCAACTAGTCAAAAAAAAAAAAAAAAGCAATCACCTGACACAAGAGTTCTTCTAGCTCTCACTCCAGGCAATCTGTGTAGAGCTTTGGGGACAAAAAAGGAGGGGGGACAGAGCGAGGTGTGCCTAACCCTATCCCACACCCAAGCAAAGAGGGTAACAACAACACCAGTTTGCTAATGATAACATAAGACTTTCACATCTTCCAAAATGGGTCCATCTGAAAAGCCCAACTGCTCTGACCACTTCCAATCCACTTCCTCTTCCTCCAGGAGGGCAAGGATGGCTATTTTGGGTGTGTGCCCCACTCAGCAGGACACCCATGGACTCCTATTGCCACCCACATGGCCAGGGCATGAGTGAGTGATGATGGCACCCCATAGTCCACAGAACATCAGCAAAGACACTCTGAGTTCAGTTGTCCCTTTTTCCAGGAGTGGAAGAGACAAACCTTCCTTTTTCTTTTTCTTTTTAAGACTTTAAAGAGGTGTGTGTGTGTGTGTGTGTGTGTGTGTATCTGTGTCTGTGTGTCTGTGTGTTATATATTTTTTAGTGTGAATGTGCACACACATGCATAAGCATGTTACCTGTGAATGTGAAAGTACTATATATGCATATGGGGGCCAGAGATTGACAATAGGTACCTTTCCTCAATTGCCTTCCCCCTTTTATGTTTTGAGACAGGGTCTCTCACTGAATCTAAAGCCCATTGATTCAGCTAGGCTGCTGGTCAGTGTGCTTCAGGGATGAATCTGTATCTGCCCCCATCTCCAACTCCCCAACACTGGATATATGGGTGTGCCTTGTCACACCCAGATTTCTAAGTAGGTTCTGGAGATCCAGACACAGGTCTTCCTGCTTGAGTGGTACTTTACTGAATGAACCATCTCCTTAGCCCGAGGGAAACTTTTTTCAATATATGTTTAATTGATGGTAAACTCTCACATAAAATCGCCCCCTCTTAAGCTCATAAGTATTTTAGGCATGCCATTAAGCATTAAATAGTCCCCTCGCTCTGCAACAGTCACCACCCAGAACTCCTTTCCACCTTGCAAAACTAAAACCACACCCAGAAGCCATTGCTTACTTCAGCCCCAAAGGCCACCGCCTGCCTGCTTTCTCTGTCTGTGGCTGTGAAGACAGAAAATGCCCCCACAGAAGTGAAATGGGGTGTACGTGTGTGCATGCGTGTGGGCCTGCATGTGTGTGAGTCCTTAGGTCCATCCATGCTGTAGCTTGTGTCAGAATCTACCTTGTTCTGTTTGTCTAGCCTCCTTTGGGTTGCTCCCACATTGGCTATCTTTCTGTAGTGCGTGTGAGTGTTCCCTCTGCTCTCAGTGAGGAGGGAACATTTGTAACCCCAAGTGGTCCCTCACTAGCCTGGGAGAGGAGGCAGGGCTGTGGTTCCCGGCTCAGATTTGTAATCCTACTGGACTGGTTTTAAATCTTGATTCGACCTCCTACTCTACTTAGGCAAAGCCACGAACACGTATGGGGCCCTTACTAACCACTTCACAAGGATTAGTGTGCGTGGCCCTCACCGAAATTCTCTAAGGTACAGGTACCACTACTCACCGTGCTTTACAGAGGAAGTTAAGCTGTTTATCTGGATTCAAATAAGAGATAGAGCCGAGATTTCAAGGCAGGCAATCTTGTCCCAGAGCCCATATGACTACAACAAACTGAGTGATGGTCATCCATGCTTGAGTCAAACCTGGTCCTTCTACAGCATCCTGATGGAGACTTATCTCCTTTGGACCTAGCTGCTGTCTGAAGAAGTGAATTCAGTCAATGAGTCAATGTGTTTATTGCATCCCCCTGCTTTCCTCCCTCAGAGGCTGGATTTCCTAATTGTTCTATAGTGTGTTCCATGTCATGGGGTGAACAAGAGATGACCCAGGGTTCCGAATTCACTAGGCCCATCCCATGTCTGTTCTCTTGGCCAGTGATCTCTGCATGAATCCCTTTGTAAGGAACGAGGAAGGGCTGTGGGCAAAAATTGTTCACAGTCTCCATCTAGTCCTTCCAGCGAGCTCCTCAGCCAGAGCTGAAATTCCAAGGACATCTGGCAGCGAAGCAATCAAGGGAGACCTGTGGAGAGAAGGAAGAGGAAGCTGGTGCAGCCTGGAGATGAGTGTGTGCCTGGGGCAGCCACAGGAAATGGAAGAAGGAAAAGAGGAACGGGGGGGGGGCAGGGAAGCATCTCTCTAGAGATGAATGTCATCCACATTAAAGTGAAAAAATAAAAATAAAAAATAGAACCCTCTAGAGATTATAAACAGTTCCGATTTTAGACTCTTTCTGAACACAGCGCCTAGGTAGACCTAGTCCACATAGAGGTCAGTTTGTATTCAGGTTAAGCCAATTGAAAAATACAATTTTTGATTGTTTGTTTTAAGTTGGACATGGTGCCACAGGCTTCCAGTCCCAGCACCCACAAGACTGAGGCAGGAGGGTCACAAAGCCAGACTGGAATACATGGTGAGGTCCCATCTCAAAAACAATTTGTTTGTGGTTGCTTTGTATTCTCTTTCTTCCTTCCTCCCTTTCCTATTCTCATATACTCTTTCTGTGGGACCAAGCAATAACTGTAACAGACAGATGTCCCTCCTCTCGGGCTCCCTGCCACAGACTCAGAGGCTCAGCAGAGCTACAATCAGGGCTGGAGCTGTCTGGATATATCTCACTCATCTGTCCTTTCTCCTTTCACCTCTATCTCCTCCCTCCGGGGTCTCCCTGTGCCGCGTAGCCTACATTGATGTTAAACTCACTCAAACTTAGGGCAGTACTCTTCCTCCAGTCTCCTGCATGCTGGGATAAGCCTGTGCCCCCGAGTCTGGCTTCTTGATTTCTTCTTTTATAAACCATACGCAGGAACACCCTCATAAGAGAAACTGACACCTCCCACAGGGTGTCTGTCTGCAGCCTCTAACCTCCTCAGATCCTGCCCTCCCTACCCACGTTCTCAGCTCCCTCCAGCTCTGCTGCCCCAACTCAACCCTCATTCCGGGGATGTGATAGTTTTAATGTGAGGTGTCCTCCGAGGGTCCTGAGTCTGAATACCTGGTGGTACTATTTTGGGAGGTCATAAGACTTTCGAGACGCAAGGCCTAGCAGTAGAGTTGGCCATTAGTTATAGTTTTAACCCACTGAGCCCTTTTACTTCCTGGTCAGCACCTTATGACAGGCTACACAGTCATCTCCCACCTACATTGAGCAACCCCCTCAATCTCTAACCGCCACGCCTCTGCCGTCATGATGGGTTGCAGCCTCTTAAGCCATGATTCAAAATAAACACACACACACACACACACACACACACACACGTTGTTTTTGTCAGGTAACTGGTTATAGCAACATGGAAGTGACTGTCACAGCAGTTAGTTACACAGTGTCTCGCTCCCTGACAGTGCAGCTTCCCAGGCCTTAAACTGTCGAGTTCCTGCCACCAAGAATGATGGCTCAGATGGACCCTCGGCTACATGACACCAAAGTGGCTACTGGTCATCTCCAAATTCCACCCTACGCATGCCTATCTCCTTCCTCTTATCCAGTGCTTATCAGTCTTTCAGAAGCTGTCTTTTGCTGGATGAAGTGGAGTGCATCAATAAACCACCCAGGATGGAGAGGCAGGAGAATCATGAGTTTAGGCCAGCTCGGACTTCACAGTGAAAGATCTTGTCTCAAAGAAAAACAAAAAGGCAGAATTTGCCTTTTAATTTCCTAATAGCAGTAAGAGTATTAGCATACACATTACCCAAAAAAAAATCAGAAAAGATAAAAAATTAACACTTACCTCCCTGTCCAGAGATGGCTGCCGTGAGTTGCCATCTTCGTGGCATAAACCGGTGAGTGTTCCCCAAGCTACAGGTGCAGACACTGAGATATAGAGATGCTAAGGAACTGCTAAAATGTCACCCACACAGGAAAAGGTGGAGCCAGGAGCCAGGCCACCTGACAGTACAGTTCTGACTCCAAGTCCCTCTGCTCACCTGACTTTTTCCTGTCCCTTCATGACTCCTACCACTGGACCTCATGGAGCAAGTGAAGGAAGACCCTTGAGGAAGGCTGTCCATCAGGACAGCTTTGGGCACATGCCCTGTGTCTTTGGAAACAGCCTTTGCTCACATGAGCACACACCAGACACAGGCAAGGGAGTACCCCTGTTTCTGGGCTTCACATGCCAGGGCCCGCAACCACTGCAACACGTCTCCACCCACTGAGGTGACTCTGGAGGCAGACAGAAAGCCTCCAGGGGCATCTCTGGTCACACTCAGAAGCAGATTGGTAGATGGCTTCATACCCTGCCTCAGTAAGAATTCAGAAAACTACCCAAGGTCCTATGGTGGCCCGGCAGCTACTCATACCAGGGACAAATGACTTTGAAGGTCCGGGAGAAGTAGAGATGGGAGATTGCCACAAGTTGCAGGCCTACCTGGTCCCCAGAGCAAGACTTAGGCTAGAGAGTGAGACTCTGTCTCCCGAGAGTGACAAGAAGATGCTACTTTGGGATCTCAAGCAGAGTGACTGAAGGGTAGTCAGGTGGGACATGGAACAAAACAGCAGATCCAAGTCATGAAGCCCAAGTCCTGATTCAGACTTCCCAAAGCAGGCCAGGCATGGAGATTGGGAGTAGAGTGAGCTCACTTCGGGGAGGGGGAGAAATTACAGAAAGCATGAGTGAATCAATTAAGGAAGGGAGCAAAGCCAACAGGGATGACAATGAGTAGGTTACCTCTGAGACCAAGGGTCTTTATGCCCCCAGACCCTCCAAGAAGCATGGTAGAACGAAGTTCAATGTCAACCCATAGGGAGACAGGGAAGCAGAGCTGTCTGCTCAAGATTTCCTACTTCTAACTAAAGTTCCGGACGTGAAGGGGAGTATCCAACTCCTGTCTTCAAATAGCTATGTTGCCTGGCTACTTCTGTGCTCATTAAACACATTCGTCCCTCCCTGACAAGTGTCTGGAAACAACCACCAGCTTTGGGGATTTGTGTTGGTGTATTTTCCCCCTTGGAGATACCAGTGAAAGATCTAGGGCGTGGGCCTGGCAGATTATGTCTCTGGTCCTCAGCAGTAGTTCCTTGGGCCTTGGCTGATGTGGTGACAGATCATCAAAGCAAAGCCCAGATGACCCAGGGTCACAGCTTGATGACCCGACCCAGGTCACAACCCCATCCAGAACTGGAGCCAATCCAGCTAGGGACTGGACTGAAGGACTCAGCTTCCCTCCCAAGAGGATTTGAAGTGCAAGGGCCCAACACGTGGACACCCTCTCCTGTTAAGTGTCCTTCCTTCCTTCCTTTCCTTCCTTCCTGTGGCTTGCACAATGGAGAAAGCCCCAGTGTCGTTAATCACCAGGGTCCAGGCTGTGGGACTTCCAAGCCTTGTAAAGACCCATGGAAAGTAAAGATCCTGATTTGCTTCAGAGCCAGGTTCAGAACTTATAAGCTGCAGACAAAAAAAAAAAAACAATGGAGGAGACAAGGGCAAGGTAAACTGAGTCTGTCAATATGTCACCATTGGGAATGTTCCATAGAAAAATTTCTTCTTCCCTCACCCAGAACAGGTAATGGCTTCTTCCACCTTCAACTTCTCAGTGGGACTAACCACGTGCATGGTGGATGCTACAGCTTCCTTACAGCAAAAATGAAGACTCTTAATGCAGCCCCAGGCAAGGAGTAAAGCAGATATACAGGCTCAACCACTCACAGGGCCAATCTTGCTTGATGGTTATTTGCAAGTCAATAAATGGGGACCCAGCACCCTCCCTGGGCACCTGCAGCAGCACCATCCACCCCTACTTGAGTCTTTCCATTTCCTCATCATACTCTGGAGATAACTTTTAGAATTGACTTGTTCTTGTGTGGCCCTTAGAGAGTTGTAGGTTCAGAAAGAGCAGGGGCTGGCCAGTCCTGTCACATGGCTGGCCATACACAGAATGCTTCATCAGGGTTTGGTCACCAAGTGGATGAGCTCTTGACCTCACATGGGGAGCTTATTCTTGCCAGGAGGGAACAATTCCAAGTCAGATTTGAGCTGGGTTCTTTGTCTCAAGGCTCAGTCACAATGTCATAGAACCCCATAGTCTGAACTTTCAGCAACCTTTTAAAGAACAGGACACCCTGCTGAAATTAAACAGTGTTGGGGTGTTTAAGCAGATCCCATAGAACAGCCCCAAGTGGCTCTCCATGGGACCCTGCCTTCTCCTGGGACCAAGTGACTTGTGCTACTTTCCTTGGGTGGTCGGAAAGAAAAGTAGCTTGAGAAATGCCCAAATTTTATTTCCTTTCCCAGCACTAGTATTCCAATGTTCCCATGAACTGCGGGGCCACACCTGCAGATGCTAAACACAGCATGAGTCCCAGGGGCAGCTGACATGACCACTGGAAGGTATCAGGCAGGATGTGCTCACCAACACTAGAGAAAGTTCCCAAATGCCTGCCCAGGGTAAACACTGCAATCGGAGCACTACTGGAGTGAGAGCTCTCCAGCGCCTGCACCCCTACCAAAGTGCACACATCCATACAAACTTGAGCCACAGATGACAGAAGCAGAAGAATGCACCCTGGGGCTCCATTTCCACGAAGTGCAAAGCTGAGCTGTGAAGGAAAGGAGCATCGTGGGCTACCCAGGAGACCCCCTTCCTTCGTCTGGTCACATGGGTTCTCAGCTCGTGTGAAAACCTGTATGCTCCATGCTTCGGGGACACGCACCACATTTACAGAAAGATCCTGAAGTAAGAAACTTTAAAGTTTCCTGGAAAGGGAAAAACCCTGAACGCCCAGGGAAGCATGAGTTGTAGACATCAGCAAAGCACAGCGGCTAAGCCACAGGGTCCCTGGGTCCTGAGTGTGAAGCCTGACACTCTCACTTTTAGCAGTGTGACCTCGAGTTGGTGACTTAACCACTCTGTGTCTTGGTTGTTTTGTCTGCTACTGTCTATAGAACGGAAGAAACAACAACCCTGTTTCATTGTGTTGTCTGAGGTGTCACCCAGGCAATATCTGTAATGAGCTTGAAACCACACCTGGCAGAGTGAGTGCCAATTAGCTTTTATGAATAGGAAATATAAAGACAGAAACACATCTATATCCATATATAATAATAAGGGGAAAGATGCTTTTAAAATTTGCTAACTACACACTTTTTATACTATCTTTTGATAACTGGAATCTAAAGCTCACCAAAAGATTGTTCCTTCGAGCCGGATTCGAACCAGCGACCTAAGGATGACCAGAAGATCCACCTACAGTCCTCCGCTCTACCAACTGAGCTATCGAAGGAAGCTTGTTAAGTATGCTTGTCTGAGTACCTAATTACCTGTTATTAGCACTTTACTGGTACCCAGTCATCTAATTCTCCTCGTGGCATTTTACACATGGAGAATGGAGACGCAGAGAAGCCAAGCCATTTGCTCAGCGATCTCCAGAGAATGGGATGCAGAAATGCCAACATGTTTCTGCCCTGGATCACATCCCACACCAGAGTCTTGGTGGCATGCGGAAGGCATGTTGTAAAGGATGTTCACTGGTGCCCGTGAGCCACTGAGACTACCTCTCCCCCAATAAAGGTTGGGTTTAGTGGCAGAAAGATGCCAAAGTTCCTATGGTGGCACTCTACACAAGGGTGACTGGGATGCAGGAGGAGAGGAAAGAGGCCAATCATGTTTTTCCGGGAGAAAATCCTTAAAAGCAGATGTCATGAGCTGGTATAAATCTGTAAGAGCCCAGCTTTGGGTTTTGTTTCTGTTTTTCTCGCCCTTTTCTCCCACATATTTTCCAGCATACCAGCCTGTGCCCACTGGGCAACCTGACTTGTCTACTGCCTCTAAACGGCTGGAAATATGGCAACTGACACCAATGATTTCCCAACGATTCTAGAACTCTTTCAAAATTCAAAACCTTGGACTCTTACAGAAAAGAAACCCAGCCCAAAACATGGATTGCGGGACTTGGTGTCGGGCTGGCCTTCCTCTTTGGATCTTAAGAGGCGATGGCAGCCTTTGCTGCTTTAAACAGTTCTCGTTGACGGCCTCTAACCAGCCGAGTCACACGGAAGCATAGCACCCAGCACACATATAACCCCACGTACTGGCTAGAGTTTGACACAAGCTCGAGTCATTTGGGAAGAATAGAAGTAAATTGAGAAAATGTCTCCCTAGTTTGGCCAAGGGACAAGCATATGGTCCATTTTCTTCATTAATGACTAATGTGAGAGGGCCCAGCTTACTTCTGGCAATACCACCCACCCCTGGGTGTATGTTTCTGGGTGCTATAAGAAAGCACGCTGAGCAAGCCATGAAGAGCGAGCCAGTAGGTAGCACTTCTCTGTGGTCTTGGCATCAGTTCCCACCCTGAGTTCCCGAACTTACTTCCTTGAATGACAGACCATAAGCTGTACGATGAAATAAACTCTTTCCTCTACAAGTTGCTTTGGGCCATGATGTTTCCTCACGGTGACAGAGACCGTAACAAAGGCGTTCTGGTTGTAAATTATGATGGTTCATCTGTCACTCAGGCGTCACTAAGATCCACATCACGTGCATCCACTAGTCCAGGGCAAAATGTGACCTGGAGCCCCTTTTCCAAATGTACTGAAAACCTTCAAGATGCGGCAACAGAAGATTAAGCCAAGTGCAAGCAGGAAGCTTCCAGGCAGAGGTGCAGTGCACAGGTGCCTTTACTGGCTTTATACGGCTGTGATGAAACACCATGACCGGAGGCAACTTGGGAAGGAAAGGGTTTATTTAGTTTATGGTTACATATCACAGTTCATCACTGAGGGAAGCCAAGGCAGGAACTCAAGCAGGGCAGGAACCTGGGGATAGCAACTTCATGGAGAAACACTGTTCATCAGCTTGTTCCCCGTGTTCATCAGCCTGCTTTCTTAGATGCTCCAGGACCACCTGCCCAGAGATGACACCAATCGATGGTGGGATGATCCCTTCCACATCGATCATTAATAAAGAAAACCTCCCCCCACATAGGCTTGCCTCTAGGCCAATCCGATGTAAGTATTTCCTCGATTCCTTTTTCCCAAACATATCTAGGTTTAAGTCAGGTTGACAAAAGCAACCCACACAACAGTTGGCATGACCAGGAAGTCAGCCCCAAGAGCACACAGAGGGTCTCCTGTAGAGCCCAGGACCTAGTAGCTCTCCAGCCAATACACTGAATGCAGAGCGTAGAACCAGTTGATGCTGAAATAACAGGTGAATCCAGGACCTAGTCAGTGGCCAGTCAACCCACAGAATGGGTATCTCACCATCACCTTATCCTCTGGATGTGTGGTTTGGGCACAGGAATCTGAGTGCTGTTCCATTTGTGAATGCTTATTATCGAGAGTCATTACCTCCAGTCCTTGCTATGTCGGCCCACCCCCACTAGAATGCTAGAAGGCAGGGTGTATTGCTGACACCGAGAAGGCAAGCAAGGCAAAGAACTGCACCGTGCTGAAGCTCACACAGCTGGTAAGACAGGCTTCTGGGTTCCAACTCAGGAGACCTGCACACTGAGCCTGCTGCTGAGTTCAGGTGGGATGCCCTTAGGGACTCAAACTGCCCCACCTCTGAGGCCTCAGCCCATTCTTGCTCCTTGTAGCCTCCTCGTCCCCTCCCCACCCCCAAGAGGGGTGATCCTTCAGTAGAGATCTCTAACTCCATTGCACCACCAGCACTACCTAGTACGGGTTTATGGACCAGGTGGGAAGCCTGGCTCTGGACAGAAAGACAGCAGTGGTTTATCCTCCTTCATCCACATTCCACGTCTGGATGGAGGGGCAGATAGCAAAAGGTGAGGCACGTGCCCTGAGGCACCTGCAAAGCTCAGTCAGCAGCAGGACCACTGGGAGCAGACCTCAGAAGCCTCCGACACCTAGGCAGCCCCCACCATGCCCACTGAACCCCTCTGGCTACGGGATGATTGCGCTAGAGAAGAGGGTGAGACACTTGGGGCCCAGGATAGGAGGGCGCAGCCAACGCGATCATGCTAGGACCGTGCAGGAGGACATGCCTTTGCCCCTGCTCTCCTCCAGATCGCAGACCTATTGTTTTGTCAAGGGCACTTTGCTCACTCCAGGCTCACGACATACATTCTTATCCATGAACACTAGCCCAGCATGCGTGGTATAAGACCCCCAGTGGAGGAGACCGTGATACAGAATAAGGGCAGAATTTCAAAGTGTGACTGAAACCATTTCTGTACACAGTAGGCTCTCAGTTAATGCCGATTGCACTAAACTCAAGTGAAAAGGGAAATTCTTTTGAGGACAGGGAGAGCACTGTTCTAGCTTTGGACTTCATTGTATTAGTGATGAGCAAGTTTTCTCTCCAAGGGCCAGGTAGCAAATATTCAAGCTGTGGTCTCTTCATGAAGCCACCAGTCTCTACTGCTCAGGTCGTATGGAAGCAGCAGAGACAATACAGGCACTGATAGGCATTGCTAGCTTCCAATAAAACTTTATTTACAAAAATCAGTGGATGGAGGTTAAGGGGCCACGATCTACTGCCTTCACACAAGCCCTTAATATGCCACAGTCTCTGTGAGTCAGGAATACAGCAACGTGAGATTTAGCTGTAATCTCTGACCAGTAGCTCTCCGCAAAGTTGAAATGAAGTGAGCAGCAGGGGCCACAGTCGTCCCAAACCCAAGATCTGAGGAGCCTATTGGGATTATAGAGATGCACCACTTCATATAGCCCAGTAACCCATGTGGGATTTAGTGACTCCCATGTGGACCACCCCACCCTGTTACCTGCTGTCCATGTGATACAAAAAACATCAGCCTGGAATGCCAAGAGCTCTCTCCACAAACCACCTGCAGAATTAGTATCTCACTGCTGTACCAAAAGCCAACTCTACACCTTTTGGAATAAAATAGAAAAAGAGAAACACAGAGGGAATAATACTTTAAAAGTGATCCCAGGTCTAATGTGATGGATTTATAGGGGCTGGGAGGAGGTGGCTTCACCAATAAAGTATTGGGCATCCAAGCCAAGTGCAATCCTCAGAACCCAGGCAATAAAGATCTGGGTGTGTTGGTGTGCACTTCTAATCTCTGAGGTCATTGCCCAGCTAGCCTAGCAAGCTCTAGCCAGAGACTGTCTAAAATCAGAAAGAAAAAAAAACTAAGGTGAATGGGCCTGAAGAATGACAACTGAATTTACATGCGCGCATGCGCGCGCACACAAGGCCAAACAACAGTCCCTATAATATAGCCTTAAAAGCCCAGTATTTAAAGGAGCCTCAGACAGCAGAGGTCAACAAGAGAGCATAGATGCCATCTCTTTTGTTTGTTTTCAGCTATCCTACAAAGAATCCTGTTTCATTATGGCGTATTTTAAACAATTTTCCTTCCCTCCACCTTCTCCCCCATCTGCCCTCCCTGCCTTGTGCCCTCCCACCCACCCACCCACGTTGCCCCTTTGCTACTGCAATGTCGCGTGCCCCTTTCAAGCCCAGCCTCCTGTGGGCTCAGACTCAACGATACCAGATTGGTTCTTCAACAAATTTAAGGTTGAAACATTGAAGGTTAGCAATGTAGCTCAGTGTTAGAGTGCTGGCCTTGAGGCTCTGGGTTGGATCCCAGAAGCCTGAAAAGAAGGAAGGGAGAAGGGAGGGAAGGCTGGAGGGAAGTCGGTTGGAAACGAGAGCAATGAGTGGGGAGGGACAGGTTGAGATTTCATATTGAGTCTCCAGTTTTTAAATAAGGGCTCAGCATACATGTAGCAAAGGTTACCGAGCGGGGCCCATGGGGAAATGGCCCCAGGGAGTGAGATGGAAACAGGAGAGAGACACACTGATTGAACTGTGCTACAATTTGTTCTGTCCCTGCACATGACACATGTGTGAGGGTCCTGCTAGCACAGGAAGCCAGAGGATGTAGTGGGTGTCATCAGCACAGACCTGCCTCCACCTCGCTAAAGCAGTAATTGAAACCAGAGCTGAAGGGAACAGAGTGTGACACACAGGGATCCACAGGGTTGACCCTCCCCGAAAGAAGTCAGGTATCCCCACCCTGTAGACTTCAAGCGTGACCCCACGATGGCTTTGACCAATGAAATGTGAGCCGAAGGACCCTAGTTCACATCCAAGCAGAGGCATCAATAGCCAGCGCTCAGGTTGCCTTTTTCTCTTGCAAGGCATCCAGAGAGTGACTTTGCATGGATTGGAGTCATAGCCAAGAACATGCATAGGGAGGATGCCCACCACTAAGACCTGAAGGACATTTGTTGTTGCCGCTAGTTCCAGTCCAGGCTGGCAGACAAAACAACCAAATCTACATAGAATTCCAAAATGACCACACCCTGAGGGTAGGGGTGAGCCTGGGGCCATCACCATGCGACCTTCATGGCAAATGAGCAAAAGTCCAGTTTAACCAGTGAACTGGCTCATGAAGGCCACACTCAAGCGGCAGGCTCCTTGATAGCACAATCACATCACCTTTGTGCTGACCATCTGGAGACCTGGAGACCTAGGGAGCTGGATCCGAGGACCAAGTCCCTCATGCTGAGAGTTACATGGCAGGGAGAGATGAGTTTGGGGAGCAGAAAGTATAGGCCTGCCTGCTTTCTTCTTCAGGGGTCTGAGGGAGTGCCAGAGTCAAGATTCAGAAGAGATGGCCTTGCGCTAAAGGGCCAGGTCTCCTAAACTCACTTTCCTCCCCAGATTGATGAGTTCATGCATTCTGTGTTCACTGCAGCATGAGCCTATTTGCCTCTTCTGAGTTCAGCAGTGTTTCCCAGCTAGCTCTGCAGGTTTAATGCTGTCACATGCCACGTGAGGGAAGACAAGGCAAGGGCTTGGAGCTCCATCTCTACCACGCACCCTGTGCAGGTGTCCTGCCTTTTGTTTAGGTCAACTCTACACAGCAGGCATATAGTGCGAGCCACAAACGCAACTCTCTAGTAACTACATTTTGGATTCATTACTATTTCATTTACTTTTTGTGTGTTTTGTTTTGGGGTTTGGTTGGTTTTTAGAAACAAGATTTTACACTGTAACCTCTGCTGGCTGGGGACTCACTTTATGTATTATATCAGGCACTGATCCTCCTGCCTCTGTCACATAAGTACAGTGATTATATGCTAGCATGACTATACCCAGGCTAGCAACTGTATTTTAAAAGGTAAAAAGGGGTAAAATTTTGTGTTCTGGGTACAGAGTGGGGGCTTATGGTATAAAGTGTATACAGTTCTGAGTCCAGAGTCTATGCATGCTAGACATTTTCTCTACCACCAATCTGCTTTATCAGGCCAATTAATTTTAATCACACACTTTATTTAATCTAATATATGCAACACAGTACTGCTTAGACATGTAGTCAGCTATTTAGAGTCCAACTCCCAGCCTTCCTTTCAGCACTTGTCTTTGAAGCCAGTTATATATTTAGCTCATCTCTCAGGCTGGAGGGCTGCATCTCAGTTGGTCAATACTATTTGTGGGTAGTGATCACTCTATCATAGAAAGCACTTTCCCCAGAGGTTTATTTATTTATTTGCTTATTTATTTAACTGCTCTATCTCAACTAAAATGTCACTTTCTCCCAAACCCATCCTCTGCCTGTGCCTCTAAAGTTAAGGTCTCCTAGCCCCTATCCCATCATCCAATCTGCTGGGTTCCAGGGCTTCTGTCATTCAGGGTCCTACTCTGGATGGCTGAAATTACAAGAAGTGGTTCTTTTTTGGCTTCACTCGCCTGGGGCTCTGAGGAGAAATCCTTTCTTGCCTCTTACTGCTGTTGGCCTCCCTCAGCTGGTGGCTGTGTGCATTGGACTCTGCCTACTTTGGGTTCCAACCTGTGTCTTCCATCCCTTTATACGGGTACTCATCATACTGATAAGGTCCTTCCCTCCTCAAACATGAGACAAAAATAACAGCAGCATTGTACCGTAGCAGACCCCACCAGCTGTAGTCATGCTTCCAAACAAGCTTCCTTTCTGGTGTTCCAGGAGGCTCTGGGTTGGGTAGGGTTCTATCCACAACATCCTTGGTCCTAGCCTTGTCTCAATTGTTTCCTGATTTGGTTGCTGCCCAACAAAACAAAGACCATTCAAGCCAGACTCCGTGTACCCTCACCACCCCATGCCCAGCACTTAGCACAGAGAAGGCTTTCTGCAACTGCTAGTTGCAAAGAAATAAGCAAAGGAGGGCAAAGAGGAGGAAGAGAGTGAGAGAATGACAGAGAAGAAACAGAGTCATCCGTGTCTAAGATGGTTCATGAGAGCCAAGACAAGCCTAAGCTAAGGGGGGCATTGGGAGAGCCTGGATCTGTTATTCCTACTGGGTAGTAGACTTTCTAGGTTCTTCCAGAAGCTCGAGAATCAGCCCTGCTACAACTCTGTGACCAACTGGGTGATCACCCTGCAAAAGGACATGACTATCCATCCCTTGGACTTCTAGAAAGCAAAACTCAACCTATGGGACCTCAACTTTATCCTACACTGGAGTGAACAGCTCCAGCAAAGCAGAGAGGGCCAGGGGGGAAAGCTGGGAAGATGTTCTCAGCCTTCCTGCCTCTGCCCTCCTTCCCTCTGGCTTCTTTCCATGAAGAGGGCTGTCTGCCAGCAGGATCTGATCCATTTTCATGGACACCAAGAGTGGCTACCTACCCTACCATCTAGAGGTCCCTGAGAAAGGCCAATGAGCTTAGGACTGAACCACAGAGGGCTCCAGAAGATGCCCTCAGAATGGAGTGTGGTAAGGGCTGAGTATGTGGCCTTTGTCGCAGAAGGCTTGCCTAGCTAGGGCTGAAGGTGAAGAGCAGGAAAGGAAAGAGAAGGGGAGAAGGGGAAGGGGGAAAGGAAAAGGAAGGGAAGGGAAGAAAAGGGAGAGGAAAGGAGAAATGGAGGTGGGAAGGGAAGGGGGAGGGAAGGAGAGTGCATGAGGACCTGAAGGATCAGCCTTACATATTTGAGCCTTCCCATTTGTCAAACAAACCTTGAGATCTAAATATTTGAGTGGTCTTAAAGTATAATTCAGACAATCCAATCAATGGAAAGTCACTATCAAGATTAATCACAAAAGTAGAGGTGCAAGGCCATCTTCGTGTGCCATGAAGAGTCTGAAAGTTCCAGCAGTGTGCGTGGGAATGAGGAACAGCACGTGTGGTCAATCCTACATTGCTCAGACACCCATCATTAAGCCTAAAATATAGATCTCTTCTCCTCTCCCACAACTGGGACTCTAGCACGGACCCTGCAGTCTGGATGCCAGTTCAGTTTTTGCTCTGGGACTTGGTAAACAGTGAAGAGCTTGAGGGATAGGCATCTGGGGTCCAGGTGACTCTTTCCTTCAACCCTTCCAGTGGCTGGTCTTCCCAGATCCCTGCCCCAAGCCTCAAAGACTCCAACTCTCTAGGAATACTTAAAAATATCAGTTCAGGCTTTTCCAAGTACCCAGAGCCTCAGTTTTCCAGTTTTTCAAGGACTGGGTCATCTCCCCAACTTTTTGTACAGATTAGAAAAATAGCTTCCCTGTTTTGCCAAAACCAGGACACACAGTTTGGTGAACACGGGTGTAGGGGTGAGGGTGGGAGTGTGATAAGTACTCTGTTATCCTCTTGGAAGTGTGTTCAGTAAACATCCTACACAACCACGTGTGGCCTCTGGACAGTCTCTGCCAAGTGAGGGATGGTGAGAATTAGATGCGGTGCTGCCTGGAAACGTGTAATGAGATTATTTGGTAATAATAGCTCAGTGGGTTGAGTTTTGCCTTAAACCTTTCACATTTGTGTTAACAGAGCAACACCCCCCAAACCCTAAGCCAGGACAGCTCTTGAGACCCTCAACATCATTTTAGGATGGAGGAAGAAACATTCCCTTTTCATGCTCTCATTTCTTCCAAGACTCACTAGCACACCCCCAGCGTTTGTTAATGACACTGGGTGTACTTGAACCCTAAGCAGGAAGGGGCAAGGCTCAGGAGCATGGTTTGCTGCATTTCATTTCTGTCAACAGCTACTTTCCAGTTTGCAGAAGTGGTGGAAGGATTACATACTTATCCAAAACCATGCATTTGAGTTTTGAAAAGGACTCGATTAAAGGAAAACTCTACAGTCCCTAACCGTAGGAGTGCTGGCAGGATGCTTGATGGTTGTGAATCCTGACCCTAGACAATGGCCTCCTTTCCACAATGCATTTCAGCCAGCCATGGAACTCCCGGCTAGGGACTTCCCTAGTAGGAAGTAGGGGAGGCAGGAAAATGTCCTGAGGTAGGCTATGAGCTTTGATTGCTAGATGTGGGCTCTGGGGCCCTGAGCTCCCAGCCAGCAAGTGAGGGAGTGAGCGAGCATAAATCTTCCCCCCTGCCTGCAGCCCCAAGCAGAGCCTGATCTGCCTTCTGAAGGCCGGGCCCCTTCACCTGAGCTTGGCTGGCCTCAGGGAGGGGCTGCTTCTGTTAGATGACTGGGAGCCAGCCTAGTCGCCCAGCCCAAGTCTAGAAAACAATTGGGTCTCCGATAGCCAATGAGTCAACCTGCCAGGGTCAAGTGATGCCCACACGCCCCCAGGGTGAAGGAAATAGATGCCTGTGGTGCAGGGCACATGGTGCCACTATGTTTCATCCTAAAAGGTCACTCTTGTCGCAAACAACGCATAGTCATCAGAGAACAGAGCCAAGTTCTCCTTCTCAGGACTCTGATCACCGGTAAAGTGTTCCGAGGCCCATGGACTTGGGGTGCAACAGCCAGGCGGGAGAGGCTGGTTTCCCTTCACCAGGCTTTAACCCAGGCAGCGGCGCCTTTGTGGAAACCAGAGCAAGCCGAGGGCGGGCAAGGCGCTCTGAGAGGTCACTTCTTCGTCTCCCCCCAGTGGGTAACTAGGGCCACAAGGCCCCGGGCCCACTATCGGGCTCCCTTGGGTCCACACCAACCTTGCCCATTCCACACCGCAGAGGGAGCCGCATCATTTCCATGCAACAATGCAAACGCACTCATTACCATATTCTCAATATGCATGAAGAAAATGTGCGACGTTGGCCGAGCCCCATCGCCCTGCTCTGGCCTCCGCATCCAATAAGGCGACATATTCATCTCCCAAGATGGATGAGAAAGGGATGCCTGGGAAGCAGATCCACGGGCGGGGGAGGGGACAGACTCTGTAGAGAAAAGGAAGTGAGAGTAAACCAGCAGAAGAGAGCCTGGGATAGACCAAGGTTGAAATAGGATGGATGGGGGCGAAAGAAAGGGAGGGAGAAAAAGAAGAACGGGAAACTGAGAAAGGGAGAGGGGGAAGATGAAAACGGGCTTAAAAAACTGAAATAAAAAAAGACCCAGAAAAAAACACATTAGGAGTCACAAAAAGAGAGGGAGAGGGAGAGAGAGAGGAGAGAGACAGAGAGAGAGAGAGAGAGAGAGAGAGAGAGAGAGAGAGAGAGAGAGAGAGAGAGAGAGAGAGAGAGAGAGAGAGAGAGAGAGAGAGAGAGAGAGAGAGAAAGGCCTGGAAATCAAACATGCAGAAAATGCGAGGAATAGACAGGACGAAAAAAAAAAAAAAACAAACAAACCAAGGAGGTCAACAGAAATGCTCATCGCAGGTGGAAACGGGATGATCCTGCATAGGAAAAGAGAAATAAAACCACTCGCGCTCAGAGCCACGGTTTTCCATTCATGCTGAGATTCCGGGAGCCGCAGCGCAGATCTGGCCCCTCGAAGGCCGGCGGCAGAGGACCTGGTCCGGGAGGTTCAGGAGCTCGGAAGACCAGCTGAAGAACTTCGCGCTCCTCTTGGAGCGTTCTGGCCAGCTCCGTGGTGCACAAATCAGGCCTGGGACCCACGCAGCCGATACTGCAACCTTTCCAACCCGCGGCCTCTCTAGCGCCAGGAGAGAAGTTTGCAAAGTTTACCCCAAAGTTTCCCAGTTCCCGGTCTCTGGACCCAGGGACAGTCTCCGAGGCCCTGACAGCTCACAGGGCTCAGCCAGAGTTGCACGGCAGACGTGGCGGCGCCCAGCCCGTGCCTCCTGGGATGCTCCGAGGCCAGATTCACAGTCAAATGTGAATTCCTCCCGGTGCTACGCCAGGCCACGCATCTGCAAGTCCGTGTGGCTGCTAATAGCGGGAGAGAGAGAGAGAGAACGCGAAAGCGAGAAAGGGGGAGAGAGAGAAAAGAAAAAAAATATTCTCAGCTCAATTTAAGTCTCATGGAAAGGGCTTACAACTGTAATTAAATCATTAAATTCTTGTCTACGCTTCACAGAGCGGAGAGAAATTAACTTCCCACCAACCTCATTTTCTATTTGAACATGAAATAATGATTTTCTGCCCGTCTAATTACAAAGCCAACATCTGATCAAGCCAGCATCCAGAGGGGATTATCGCATGCGCGAGTATTAGACCTCATTACCAGCTTGAGTGCAAAATTATTACATCTTGTAATTGGATGGTGAGATTTATATACAGATCGGCCCGGTTTCTGTAAGATTGTAATTACAAGCTTCGTTGGTTAGCTACTTATCAGAACTTTGCAGGAAAACAAAACAAATGACTGAGGAAAACGAGCGTTTCATTAACCTGTAACCCCAACGCGCGGGGGGAAGGGGGCAATGGGAGCGCACGCTGCAGCGTCTGCAGGAAGCTGAAGGATGGCCAGCCAGCACCGCCTCTGGGGGACTCTGGGTCTTGGGAGGAAAGAACTGAAGACTGGACCAGCTGGGAGACCCAGGGCTGCAGCGGCTCCCCCAGATGGGGGTGCAGACACATGGGGGGAGCTGGACCAGGAGAGGGAAGAGATGGGGGTGGTGGCTCCGAGTGTGTGTGACTTGCCGCCGCCTTCAGACCCGGAACCTGGTGGGCCTCTGGCCCTGAGTGCCGCCGAGCACCTCTAGCAGTCTTCCAGTGTGTGCGCTACTGGCTCCCTGGGCCCAGACCAGGGAGCATCCGCCGCGAGGGCTGGGAGCGCTTTGTGAGCTGCGACTGTTGGAAGAAGGAGGGGTGCTGGGGAAGCTTCTGCCCGCGGCACGATGTTGCATTCACGTTTTTTCCCAATCAACTACCCCGTGCACCTGCTTCTCTTCGCTCACTGTGCTGTGCGAGTATGTCAATCTGACCTAATCTCCTGGATTAAAAAAATCCCTTGAAAAGGTTCAACTACCCGCGGATTCACGAGCTTAGTGTGGGAGCTGGATTCCACTGGCCTGGTCCTGCTGAGGACCCAGAGCCATGTGGTGACTCCAGCCGTAGGGATACTGAATCCCGACGTGGAGTGCGGATTTCCAGGCCTGGCCAACGCTCTTCCCATTTGGTCATGGGGTAACGGGGACGCTGTCTCTGTCTCCGGCTTGGGATGCCTGGAGGGATCTAATTAAGCGAGGTTCTTAGGTTCGTTTCTGGGTCTAGAGGTTCACCCTCTGGGCCAGGGGCGACCTCCCACGGGCGTTGGGTCCTTCCTGAGAACAGCCTGGCTCTTCCAGTGCTCTCTCTTGCAGGACTCTCAGTCCGCAGTTAGATACAACTAGGTCGATAGCTGGTTAATGCAATGCGGAAGGAGCATCTCAGGGGCTCCTGTGTAAGACCGTGTGTGTGTGTGTGTGTGTGTGTGTGTGTGTTGTGGTGTTGTGTGGTTTTGCGTTTTGTTTTTCTTTTCCATCAGGGAAAAAAACGCAACTAAATATCCGTGTTTTCACCCAGGCACATACAGAGAAGCCTCTTCGCCCGCCTTGGACTCTGGCTCTGTTGCACGTTGGCGCACATTGGCCTGGTCCACCACTGCCTAGGTGGGTCTTCACAGCTGCCAAGAAAGACTCATAGTCCTATACATAAGAAAGATCCTAGAAAATAATGTTACCTCGATTCTGTACCCCTAAGACCCTTCCTGAACAGGTGAGCCCTAGCTTCCCGTGACAGATTTAACCAGAAACGGAATCGGACCAGGGAAAAGCATTTGAAGGCCACAGCTGGCCTTACAGTGCCTCCTCTGTCGCGTTCACCCAGCACCAGGCAAGGAGGGACAGGAGGGGGCAGAGAAGCCGCACAGAGCGAATTTAGGGAGAGTCCAGATGCTATCATTGAACTCTAAGCCTTAGGCAGCTCCCCAAACTTCCGTCTGTGCTTCCCTACTAATTTTCTGAGTGGCACCTCCTGGAACCGCAGGCCCCTACAAAGGCCCATGGAATGTAACGGAGGTGGCACACGACTCCACTTTTGACTGGAGGCCAGGGCCAGGGCGAAAGAAATCTTCATTCCCCAACTTAACTATTCATACCAGAGCCGACCAGCCCGGAACCCTCAGATCCCTCACTGGGAATTCAGACTTGATTCCTAGGTCAACCGGAGGCGCGGGAGTGCCGTTTCTGCCTCTAAGCTGGGGTCCTCGCTCTACTAAAGAGTCCAGGAGTTGTCTGGGCCGCAGGCCCCCAGCAGGCCTGACCCGCGCGTGGGTCGCCGCCGCTGCACTCTAAATCGCTTAGTTAGGAGCCACAGCCATTCCGAGAATTTCTGTGTGGCTTTCCACTGTACGCCATAATCCGTGACGGTGGGCAATTGGACACTACCATTTCAAGTTAGATTTAGGTATTCTATCATAAAACGTTTAGATATCCTACCAGAAACCCAGCCTTGCTCCCCACCCCCACATGCACACGCCCCACGGCTCTAGGGGATTGTCACCAAAAGAAAATACTGGCGTTGGGCCCAGAGAACAGGAGAAGGGACAGTGAAAGGAATGGTCGTAATCGACCAAAAACATCTACACAGAAACTTCTCGAAGTGCTCTCAGAAAGTTCCCAGAGCCTCCGCGGTGAGGCTTTGTGCTCCTCCCCCACCCCATAGCCAGGAGCTCCAACTCTGTGTGCTCCGCAAGACCACCTGGGCGCCAAACTCACTTTCTAATGAGAATTCTCACCGAGGTACCCCGGAGGTGTTAACGTGGTAAACGGCAGGGTTTCCCCGGCACAGATTCGGTCTTTTAAAGCTCAGAGGGGCAGCTCTCCCTACTCCCAGGATGCACGCTCAACTCTTTTAGCTGTCCTTTTAGCTGCCCGCTTAGGCTACTGGGAGCGTCCTAGGGACCAGAGCTGAGAACTGCAAAGGGAAACGCCACCGCACGGAAAAGGCCCGGAGCCAGCCTGGGTCCGGGGTCCCGTCCCACCCCGGAACTACAGCTGCTGTGGGGGCTGAGAAGTGAGGAGTTGGAAGACCCGCGGGGAGAGGTGACCCTGTACTAACCCGCCACTCCTGGTCTGGGCTCTCCCCTCCCTGTGCTGGCAGGAGGGGGGCGGGAAAAGACTGCGTCCCGTCCCGCCCCGCCCCGCCCGGCGCTCTGTATTCGCGAGGGAAGGCCGCCTCGCCCAGAAGGCTCCCGGGTGATTGGAGACTCCAGGAGGAGACGCGAGGAAAAGTCGAATAAGAGGGCGCAACGTCAGACTCGAGATTTGGGGAAGGGTGAGGGAGGGGGTGGAAGGGCGGGGACGGACACACAGACACTGACGCGGACACACACCCCCTGCACAACATTCTAAGTGTCTACAACTTTAGGTCGCTTTAGCCCAGGACACAGAGACCCAGGAGAGGGAAGGGAGTCTGAGAGAGAAAAAAGAGATTTAAAAGAGAGGAGTCAGACTAGGAAAAGTGAAGAGAGCTGAGAGGTGAGCCAAAGCAACCGTGAGAAAGGGAAAGAGGAAAAAGAACCGCAGTTTCCCAGCGCCCGGGACTGCGAAGGAGCCTCGGGAGCGGAAGCCATCAGGGGGTGGGGTAGGGGGACGCAGCGAGGGGAGGGGAAAGGAAAGGACAGGAGGGGAGTGAGTGTAAACTATAGGAGGGCGAAGGAAGCGAGGCGAGACACAGCTTCGGGAGAGGAGGACAGAACTGAGCGCTGCGCGCAGAGCGGCTCTCCAGGCCTAGAGGAGGGAGCGCGGCGCAGAGAGGAGGGGCTTGAGGCCCCGTAGAAATGTCAATCAGAGCCCGGAGCCCAGGGAATCTCGGCCAATCTGTTCGGACCTGACCTGACTCCTCGCCGCCGCCGCCGCCGCCGCCGCCGCGGAGCAGATCAATAGGCGAACGCGGAGCGCAGCGCAGCGCGGCCCGAGCTCGGCCCAGCCCCCGATGCGCTCCGGAGCCAGCGTGCGGCTCTGAGCACGGCGGCCCCGGGGGCCGGGCCCCCTCTCCGTAGGTGCCCCACGGGCCACCATGTCCTTCCCCCAGCTCGGATACCAATACATCCGGCCGCTCTACCCACCGGAGCGCCCGGGAGCCGCAGGCGGCGGCGGTGGCGGTAGCGCGGGGGGCCGGAGCGCTCCGGGAGCCGGAGCCTCGGAGCTGGCCGCCTCGGGGTCTCTATCCAATGTGCTTTCGTCCGTGTACGGGGCACCCTACGCCGCGGCCGCAGCTGCAGCTGCCGCCGCGCAGGGTTACGGCGCCTTCCTGCCCTACGCTACGGAGCTGCCCATCTTCCCACAGCTGGTAAGAGCCGGGAAAAAAAACGGGAACAGGGGGTTGGAACTGGGGTGCAGGGTGAATGTGCAGAAGAAAGCCAGGGTCCCGGAGGGAGGGTGGAGGCGGCGACGGCTGGAGCTCACTCGCGCTCCCCCGCGCGTGTCCCTTTCCTTTTCCATGTGCGTACAGGGAGCTCAGTATGAGCTGAAGGACAGTCCTGGGGTGCAGCACACGGCCACGGCCGCCGCGTTCCCGCACCCGCACCCCGCCTTCTACCCCTATGGCCAGTACCAGTTCGGGGACCCGTCCCGTCCCAAGAACGCCACCCGCGAAAGCACGAGCACGCTGAAGGCCTGGCTCAACGAGCACCGCAAGAACCCGTACCCCACCAAGGGCGAGAAGATCATGCTGGCCATCATCACCAAGATGACCCTCACCCAGGTGTCCACCTGGTTCGCCAACGCGCGCCGGCGCCTCAAGAAAGAGAACAAGATGACGTGGGCACCCCGTAGTCGCACCGACGAGGAGGGCAATGCTTACGGGAGCGAGCGGGAGGAGGAAGACGAAGAGGAAGATGAGGAAGAGGGCAAACGTGAGCTGGAGATGGAGGAGGAGGAGCTGGCAGGGGAGGAGGAGGACACGGGGGGCGAGGGCCTGGCCGACGAGGAGGAGGATGAGGAGATCGATTTGGAAAACTTAGACAGCGCCGCAACCGGGCCGGACCTGGCCCTGACTGGGGCAAAACACAGGAATGGCGACTTCGGCCTGGGACCCATTTCGGACTGCAAAAATAGTGACTCGGACGACAGCTCCGAAGGCTTGGAGGAGCGGCCACTGTCGGTCTTGAGCCTGGCCCCAGTGCCACCGCCTGTGGCCAGGGCTCCTCCATCTACACCCTCTCCACCCTCGGGCCTGGACTCCTGTGCTCCCGCACCAGCGCCCTCCTCAGCCCTGCAGAAGCCCAAGATCTGGTCGCTGGCCGAAACGGCCACCAGCCCGGACAACCCACGTCGCTCGCCTACTGGAGCCGGAGGTTCTCCTCCTGGGGCAGCCGTCGCACCCCCGACGCTGCAGCTCTCGCCCGCGGCTGCTGCTGCAGCAGCAGCGGCACACAGACTCGTCTCGGCGGCGCCGCTTGGCAAATTCCCCGCTTGGACCAACCGGCCTTTCCCAGGCCCGCCGCCCGGCCCGCGGCCGCACCCGCTGTCCATGTTGGGCTCGGCCCCACAGCACCTGCTGGGACTTCCCGGAGCCGCGGGTCACCCCGCGGCTGCTGCCGCCGCTTATGCTCGGCCTACGGAGCCGGAGAGTGGAACAGGTGACTACAGGAGTGTGGGTCACAGAGAGAGGGTGTTGGTGGGGCTCTCGCCTTGGCTAGAGGGTAAGAACGAGAGCTTGGGGCACGTACGGTGTTTTCCTCTTCGCTCCCGCACGAGTGCAGCGGCCCTAGAAGCCTGGACCCAGAGTTCTGAAGGCCTCTCTTTTCTTCCCCTTGTTTCCTACAGATCGCTGTAGTGCCTTGGAAATGGAGAAAAAGTTACTCAAGACAGCTTTCCAGCCGGTGCCAAGGCGGTAAGAGACCCCGTATTTGGGAAGCAGAGTGGGAGACCCTTCAGGAGAGATAAGGAAAACGCAAGAGCTAATGACAGAAACCTTTTGCTCACCCCCCCCCCACCGCACCCAGGGAAGGGAGAAAAGTGGCCGGGAAACTATTTCTAAAAAGCACCAAAACCCACTCTCGCGTCAATTCTTGTGGACCCATAGATGCTTTTCCAGCCTCAGCTTGCGCGCTTCAAGCAGGGCCTGTGGGCACAGAGCTGGGGAAGTCTGGCTCTTCAAGCCTCTGGAGCACAAGGCCTCCTCCGCGTGATGCCCAATTCCTTCCAGCCCCGACCTCGAATTCTGAGCTCTTCTGCCCAGCTTATAGTTAATACACCCAGGGCTGAACAAGTCCGTAGGCCTGGCCCTAGGCTCGGTAGAGTGTCCCCTATCTGAGCAGCTTCCACGTCTCTAAATCTCGCTTCCTTTGCTTCTGCTCTCTTCCAGGCCCCAGAACCACTTGGATGCTGCTCTGGTCTTATCAGCTCTCTCCTCATCTTAATTCTTTCAACAATTTTTAAATCGTTGTACTAATTGTAAAAAAAAAAAACCAAATCGCTCTGTATAGTTATGACTTGCAAGCATGCTGTATGAGTATCTAAAAAAAAAAAAAAGAAACACTAAACCAACAAACAAAAAAAGAACGAAAGAAAGAATAAAGGCAGCCTCCCCCACTTGAGCCTCCCCAAGTGGCTTCTGTACTGCCCCGCTTTAGCTTGTGAGGCTCGTTTGTTCTGTTGATTTCGGGAATGGGCGGGGTGGAGTTGCGGAGAGAATAAGCGTGTCTGACTCTTTTTGTATATACAGAAAATGTACATACGTGTGAACCAAATTGTACAAGAAAGTATCTATTTTTGGCTAAATAAATGAGCTGTTGCCACTTTTGACTATAACCGGCCGGTCCGCCACCTGAACAGATCTGTTTGATGGTTCTTTGGTGTTTCAACGTCCCCCCACCCCACCCCACCCACCCCACCCCACCCTCGGTTGCTTAAAGAATCTGCAGGAAAGGGCGAGCTTAGTCTGGGGACAGCAATGGCGGAAGTAGTCCGCTCAGAGGTAGGCAGCCTAGGGCCTCTGCAAGAAGGGGCGATGGAAGTCCCTGTGCCCCCACACACTCCCCGAGAGAAAGGGCAGAGACCGAGGAGAAAATAGGGTCGATTCTCTACTAGGAGCTGGGGAACTGGGCTTTTTCCGGGGGTCCACTGGAGTAACCTTGGAGCCTTGGGGCCTACTCTGATGATTTAGCAGAAAGACTTAGGGAAGCTTCCAGGACCTCAGGACGTGGGCTGAGAGGCTCTCCCTCCCTGTTCGCATTCCGACCCCGCACCCTGGAGTTCTCAGTCCCGTGTATAGGGGCTGTCCACGCTCAACTTCGAGGCCGCTCCCAACGCGCTTCCCTCTCTAACACCTCCTTCCGCATAGGTGCTAGGGCGTTGGGGATGTGCGGGAGACGCCGGGGTGCTCACACTTCCCGCTTGGTGGCGTGTGACTGCGCCGGCGTTCAGAGTCCGAGGCCGAAGCCAGGCGGCCTTTGGTTCTTAGGTGCTTCTGGGCGTTTTGCCCTGAGTGCCAGGGAAGGGGCTGCTTTCAGAGGCGCCGGCGTGGGTTCGGGGTCGAGTCCTGAGACCTTTGGAACTGGGATTGCCGCAGGAGTCCGCGGGCGGGGGCAGCGGGGGCGGGCAGGACAGTGGGAAACCTGGGGCTGGAGCTCCCTCTACAGGACGCAGGGGACGCTCGGCGTCGGGGGCCCCTCCGGCCTCTACAGCCAAGCCGGCTTCCTGGCCCCTAGCCCGATTTGACCAAGCTGGCCGGGCTTGCCCAACTAGGAACTGGAGAGTCACGCTTAGGATAGTGACACCTCGGGGTTCGAAGTGGGGGCACCTTTAAGGCACCCCTTTCTGGAGCTTTATATTTTCAGGCTAGCCGGATGCCATACATCGGAGCTGCAGAGTAGGGCTTGTGACTGTTCTGCTCCCTGTTTGGGGGGATGGGGGGCGGCGGCGCGGGGGCGGGGGCCTGGTATGAAGAGCTGGTCTGGATCAAGTACAGTTAACCTTGTGAACCTTCGAGAGTCTGCGAGCGAGGGCAGCCGATGTTTACGGGTCCAGGAGGTGAGGACCGGGCTGCCAGCGCCACGAGCGACCTGGGGCTTTCCTTAGGAAAGCCACTGCTCAGAGAGCAACGTGTGTCCCCATAACAGAGACCCAAGGATGGAGGCGGTCACTGGCAAAG